ACTACTCTGTAAGTATGGCCAAAAGTTTTTCAGGAAATGTACTGTGAATTTAACAGAAATAAAACAGTATAAAACAAGGCAGAAAACTGCAGTGTTTTACCAAGCATTTTCATTGTTTTTTTTAAAAAGTATTTGAAAATATTTATCTTAAAATATTTGTAAGATCAAAAAGAAACAAAGCCGAAAATCACACATTCAAGTTTTTCTCTGTACCATTTTGTAGAAGTTTTCAGGTGTCACTGCAATAAACACTAAGAAATATTGTACCGTCCTCCTCACACACTTATATCAAGATATAGGCTGTCTCAGCAATTAGATTACGCCAAGAACAACACATACATGGACTCTTTTTACTCATTTTATAAGCCTGCTGCTTCTTTATTCCATACTGTTACAGTCAAATTCTGCCATCGATGCCTACATCCTTTATTGGAGGAAAGTCTGCTGAGGTCACTGGGCTGAATCTTGACAGTATTAATTGCTGCTCAACGACTCCCAGCAGCATCTAGATATTGCACCAAGCACAGACCTCTGAGGGGGTGGGCAGAACAAGAAAGTTCATCAAACTCTAAACGACCACTACAGCTTTGGAAAAAACAAAGTCTGATTCGAGTAGGAGCTTGGTCTGTAGAGAACCAGAATTAAAAAAAGCCAAACCAAGACAAAAAAATAAACCTACTAGCTCTCTTGGAAGAAAAGATCAATTGACATTGGTTTGCAATTTTTTTTGAAAGTATAGATCTTTTATTTTAAATGACAATGACTTTCTATACTAATTGTTTTTCGTGTCTCTGTGCTGAAGGCTTTCTGGGCTCAGAAGGCAAGTCAAGATGCTGAACAGCATGTGTGTACACAAGATGACAGCCTTTGGCAGGGGACACAAAGGCTTCAGAATACGGGTAAGCACAGCAAAGGGCCACCCATGTGCATAGGGGACGATGGGGCTGTCTGCTGGAAATCTGGTATAGTGGTCAAAAGGGAGTTTGTTAGCCTGAACTTGATTTCTGTGCCTGTCTGGCAAATTTTAACATACAACTGCGCTTGCTGACTATCTCTGTGGTTCTATAACCACTTTACAGATGCTTGGATGTATTACCATCTCCTTCTTCCCTTCCCCTAGCCGATGGACACTACACCCTTAAGGGTAAACACATACATCCTTAAGACTAGGTGGATGTTTGTTACAAAGACTTTCTGCTTGATTTTAATCCAAAAGAGCTGGCGTTTTTTAATTAAAACCTCCTTCACTCAGGTCTTTTTTTGTCTTGTGAAGCAGCTATCAATCAGGAGGAGTCACTGCAGGATGCACCCGGTGGCAGCAGGCTATTTCATCCCCTCCCCCAAGCCCAGACACTGACTTTTTCCTCTTCCTCCCCCCAACTTCATTAACTAAATGCACTGAATAAACCTTAACATCCCAGCTAAATCCTATTGGCCCTGGATTTGCTGCTTAATGCTAAAACCCAAGCGACCCATTTTTCTCCTGTTGATACTTCTATTGCTGATGGCAGCCAGCAGAGAAAAATACCCAATCTTAAACTATTTTAATGTAAGGAACAAAAGTCAGGGCATTCATCACTCACTCTTTCTGCTGCTGCTCACAAACTTTACGTAAGCTTTACTTGGTGTGTCAAAGCCTCCCTTGCTTTTGTGCTTCATAGGCAGCACAGGGAGTCTGTTGCTTAGCAAGTGAACACAACAAAGTGCATCTGTTATTAAAAGTGCAACTAGGTCTCTTTTAAAGAAAAACGATCTGGCAAAGTCTGTGAAACTACATTTCTGTGCATTGTACAATCTCCAATCATGACACTTATAAACATCAGAAGATGCAGACCCCACTAACTGAAAATCTTTGGGAAAGACTAATGATGAGAGTAAATAGCTTCAATTCATTTTGGGTTACTAACCCTATGTTGTGTTTCAAACAGTAAGTATGTCTTCCCAATTTCACGTACGCCACAGAAAAGGCTAAAGATTATTCACTCTTCCCCTGCCTCCTGGCTGCCAGACCTCCGGCTGCACCTAATCTCCCCTCAGCTCAGTTGCCCAATGGTCCGTGAGGACAAGCAGGAACCTCCACGGTTACTTCCCAGCTCCTGACTCTTTCTTCCCAAAGCACCCAAACTGGGTTATCTGTCCAGTTGCAAAGTCTCCCTGTGGTAGCATTAAAAGCTTTGGCTCCTGGTTGCTCCTGGGGCCACCAGCCTGCCTTTTCTCCTTGCTCCACCAGATCTCTGACCTCTCTTCTTCCCCCGAAACATCATGCCATGACCACCATGTGTTTGGCCAGAGCATCTGATGCTCCAAAACCCTTCCCTCCCACAAACATCTGTTTTACACATCTGCCACACACACCTGTGACTGCAGTCACATTCCCCCATTAGCTTTGCAAGCTGCTCCACAACTTTCCACCACAGTGATACACCCCTGCCCTACTGCAAGGGTCCCTTTGCATTTGTCCCTGCCCAGCATTCTTGGACCAAGACTCCAAGCTGTCTGAGCAGGAGGGCCAACTCAAGATGTGCTTTCCCATGTCCTGTCCTTCTTCCCCCAGCACAGAGCACCATGAGGGCTGCAAACGCTCACCCTTTGTCCAGGAAAGCCTCTTGCCCTGTGATGGCTCTGTGGCAAGCGGCTTCACATGCAGAAAACTGAGCGCTTCCCCTCACGGCTTGCAAAAGTCGCTCACCGTATTTTCAGTAATCTGTCAGAGAAGGCTATTCCAGCTTGCTCCTGGGTATCCAACCAACACAGCAGTCTTTGGATTTGACTTATATTTTTAATACCACATTTCACTTCACATTATTATCAGACCTCAATGCCCTACAATACCAAGGCTGGCTCCTAAGCAGAAGGGCTGCATCCTAAAATGTCTACCACACGGACACCCAGTCCTTTGCCCAGCAAATTCCTGCAGCATTCAGAGGCTGCAAAGGCTGAAAAGGAACAGGAGCCTGGGCATCTGTTAGAAATGCGGCAATCCTGAATAAAAATTGTATTTACAAAGAACCTAAAAGCAAATGTAATCTAGCACTGAAGATATGCGGCACAGGTTATGATTATTAGTACCCTGTCTGTTATGAGAACGCTTTCAAATAAAAGAGCTTTCTTACTGACTGTGCACTTGCGGTAATGTATTTCTTACCAATACCACTAATGGAGTGTTCATCATGTTCCTAGCTTCTCTGAAGTAACGTATATTGAGCCGTGTAAGAATAAAATTAATATATCCATGGTGCTACACGTTATCATACTGTACACACTCTACAAATGTGTTTAAATAGGGTCTTTGAAGGAAGTAATGGCGACTGACTTCAATATTACGGAAATATTCAAACCAGCATAAATTGGAAAGTAAGAATGATATGGAACATAACCAGTAAAACAAATATTTATATTCTTGAGGACTTGTTTTTGCAGCAAGGACACAGATGAGAGAGAAAGAAGGGGGGCAAGGTCTTTCGTAAGAAACCAGCTATTTCAGATTGTAAGGAAAGCAAAAATATTTTTGTTCACCTGATTATAGATTAAGACAGTACAGAGCAACAACCACTTGATCGATCAAGTTTTTCCTTTTCTTGAATACAATAAGTCCCATACTAGATAGATGACAATTTCTTGAGAGGTTTATGAGGAAGCAAGCCTCAGCTTTTCAGTTTATTTTATTTTCACAAAATCTTGATGGATTTTAGTATGGCCAATTCCTGGACTCTGCTTTCAACCATTCTCGGTGATAGTTCATGAACTTTGCACCAGGAATCTTCGTAGGGATAAGCAAAGGACAAATGGATTACCAGCTGCTCGACTCCATTTTTCACTATTGTTCTACATCTAGAACCATACAGAAAAGAAACAAACACGACCTACAGATAGACTGGATAGTATGCACACTTCTAACAGATTTTTTTCTTTTAACATTTGAAGATAGACACACAACAGAATTTCCAGTTATGACTGCATTTTGCTGCCTATAATGTACACATGAGCTGCTGAAATGTGTTTAGAAAATGTATGATAAATGATTATTTATTTTTCCAGTAGTACTAATAGGGTTATCAGGAACACAAGTTCAAGTTGTACATTAAAAAATAACCATATCCACTAACAGGACAGTCTAGCAGATGCATAGTTTTAGGCGCATAGTAACAAAATTTCTTGCATCTTTAAAAATAGTAATATTAATAGCCATAATAATGAGGTATGATGTCCAGACTCCTCTTATCACTACTGTTAACTCAGAGTTACCATATATTGTCTAACTTTTCTTTAAGAAACACTTTTAAAGTTCACTTTCCCCGCACTACACAACTCACAAAGCGACAGTTGTTTACTCAGGCTGTTTACACAGCAACTTAAAACAGCAAAAAAAAGCCTCCAGAAACTTTAACAGCTAAATGAAAGGTGATAACTTCCAATGAAAATGCCAAAATACGGGACAATATTCCATCTTGGCTGGTTTTGACAGTGATGCTGGTTTACACCATGTCAGAAACTTATTAGCCTCTGCCTTCCTAATCCCCTCCGCAACCCCTGCGGTCTCCCTCGGCCTTTCCCCATTTCACGTTAAACTTGCAGGAAACCATTAGCCCGGGACAACGGACACACACCGAGCAGGCTCCGGATGATATTATCGCCTTTGAGCGCTGGAGCTGCGGCTCAGGCGGGGTTACTCACCCGAGGGAAGCCCACACTTCCCGACTGACAGTCCCTGATGGATCTCTCTCCGCGCGGCTCAGTCGCGCGGCCGATGATCCAGCCCCATCTCCGCACGGAGCACTTCGACAGCAACTTGTTGGTTCCGATCTTTCACAACGAGTTTCGCCGACTTCGCCCGCCGCAGCCCGCCCCGGGCCGGCACAGCGGCCACACGCGGCCCCTCCTCAGGCACCCCCGAGGCGAGGCGGCAGCTCGGCTCCCGCAGCCTTACAACAAAGAAGCCCCAGCGCCCACCCCCGCGGGCAGCACCCGCCGCCCTCCCGCGCCCGGGGCCGCACACCCACCTGCGGAGCGGGACCCGCGCCGCCGGAGCCCCGGAGCCCGCACGCCGCTCCCGCCTGCCGAGGGTGCGCCGCTCCCGCCGTGCCGCCCTGCGCGGGGCTGCACCCGCCGGCTCCCTCCGTGCCGCCCTGCGCGGACAGATGGCCGGCAGCCCTCCGCTCTGACACAGTGAAGCAAAGCCCGGCTTTTTTTTTTTTTTTTTTTTCCCTTTTCCTTTTTCCCTCCCCCCCCCTTCCCCTTCTTCCCCCCCCTCCCCCCCCCTTTCTTCTTCCCGTTTTTCCTCTCTTCCTCCCCTGGCTTAGCCCCTGGCAGAGCAGCCCGAGCGTGCTCACAACACCCCCTCCGCCAGTCACTTCAATTAGTGCCACATGAGAGGAGCTTCTGCCCAAAATCTGCTTAAGAAAGGGCCAGAGGGCAGGGCAATCGCCTTTACTCAACAATGACCAGAAGCTGTTATAAATACACAAACAAAAGCACTAGCAAGGCCAGGAATGTCATATCCTAATGTGATAAAAACTGTAAAGATTCGATGTATACCAAAAGTACAAAGGAAGAAAAATATTTTTTTTAAAGAGACAAAAAGTACCTCCCTACCCTCTCCCCCCAACACGTAACCTTGTAATATGTTATCAAAGTTGTGTATTTCTGGGTGCCAAGCTATTGTGTTTTCAAAGTCCTGAGCAGCTCACTCTATCCCTTTGTGACAGCTGCTTGCTAATATTTATAGGTACCCAAGTCTGTGCACCTTATATAACCAAGCAGACTGACCAGGGCTGGGCAGAGGTAGCTTCCGACCCCACAGATATGGTGCATCGCACAAATAGAACAAGCGATGACTTATCTAAAATAAAACAAGAAGTTTCCAATAGAGCAATAAGTAAGTCAATACACTGAATACAGTACAGACTGAGGTGCATTTGTTTCAAGACTGAGGGATTTAATCTAATTTGATTTAGACACGTTTTACACTAACATATGCCATGTTGTGAGTGAGCAGAAACTCCAGCCTGAGGTTTCTAACTGCAGTGAGTTAGAGTTGAAAACTAATAAAACAAAACCAGAACCACCAAACAAACAACCCCTAATAACAAACAACAATCAAACAAAGCAAATAAAACCACCCTTGATCAAGCAGAGTGCCTCCACCAGCAGTGCCCAGACCCTGAGCTTCTGCACCACTTCACAACCCTTCAATTTGCACCGTGCTAGTTGCTGGATGCCACTGGCTCCAGCATGGGGAGAGCAGAGTGGGAGAAGGAAGTGGTTTCGGGCCCATAAGGCTGCTTGTAAACTCTGAAGTGCCTTTGAGATAGTAATTTCCAGTCTGTTGATGGCAGGATGACAACAACTAGGTTCATCTGAGGGGAAGCCAATAGTCACTGTCACCTAATTCCCTCCCCAGACATTCAAGAATGTAATCGTTGCAAAGGGAGGGCACTAGTCTCGTGCCTCAATGTTTATGTACAAATCTGTGCAAAAGTAGTTAATCCTATTGACTAACCTCATGCTCTTTTAGAACTGAGATAAAAGCTGTCTGAAATTAACCCTATATTCCCACTGTTTGGTTTCCACCAACTCAACAATAAACTTCTACTACAAATAAATGTTATTTTTTCCATTTCATTCCTATGCCCTCCTCTCATCATGCTTGTTTGTCCTGGTGCAGCGAAGGCTACTTTCTCGAACTAAACCCATTCACATACAGACTTATCCTCAAAGCACCCTTATCCTCAAAGGATGTCCACAGAGGGTTTTTGCGGCTTTATTAATTACCTGAATTTAAGCATGTGCTCAACATAATAAAGAGTGTACTTTTAGAAGATAATTTGAAGAAACACATTTAAAAGAGAGAATATTTAAGTGAAGCTCATGCAAAACTAAACCAAAAATTGCATGCACAGGCTTGCAAAAAGAAAACTGCCTGCAAGATTTCTAGACTTCCTAGATTTAGCAGGGACAGAAATATTCTTTATTTCAACAAAGAGCTTTGAGTAACCCTGACTGCACAGATGCAAAACAGTAACACCAACATGAACAACACAGACTGAGCATTGTCAGGCCAAAGCTGCCAGCCCATGGGTTGACAAAGCCCTCCCTGATGACAGTGTGGGGTGGTAGAGGGAGAGGGAAGCAGATCCCCATTCTGGCACAGGCATGGTGCAGGTCCATGTAGCCCAGCAGAGCAGTCAGAGGTATGGCAGCACGTCCAGATGAATTTTCAAGGTATTGCATGCAATATGACTAATAAACCCTGCCAGTTCCACCAACTGATCTTTACACAGGGTCCTGCTTTTACTGCAAGCAGGGCCAAGCTGGATGTCCACAGCAGCAGTACAGACATGTTTTGCATTGCAAAGGAGTGGACAGAACCCTCGCTGGAGGGATAAAAAACCTGACGTAATCCTCAACAATAAAACCCCCTCCAGGTAAGCAGTAAAAAGATTTTTAGAATAATGAGCTTACCTGGGAAAAACATGAGCTATGATTTAAGTAGCTGCATAGTTGTAACTGAATAACGAGACAGCAAAATAAGTCACGAATGGAGTGAAATGCAAGACTGTGTGTATAGTATAAAAATCTAGCCAGCAAGGCAGATGAATAAATTGATGGAACGGAGCCACTGATGCCAGAAGTGTCAGAAAAATATCCTTGTCTCTGAATTTTGGGTGAGTTTTGTATGTTTCATTTCCTGGATCAGCTATCATCGCGGAGTTCAGAGAGGGAAAAAAAAAAGGGTTATAAAAATAAAAAATATTTTCTCATTTGCCAAAAGGCCCTGTCTGAGTTGATCTGTCTTGATCTGCTTGTCATTGTGTTGCATGCTGCTTTCCTACACCAGCTTTTCCAACCTATGGAGAGAAATAGTGGAGGAATCTTGCAATGTCGCTTAAGGATGTAACATGAAGAAAACTGCATGTATGGAAATATGCCTCACAGAGAGGCATTCAGAGGGCTGTCTTTGCAAACTTGAAAGTATTCCAAATGCCATTTGCTTTACAGGTCAAAGTGCTGTGTTTGATGGTAAATCTGAGAGACAGGTGATAGAAATCTCCATGAGCAATGTCCCCAAAATGAAATGTATAAAGAAAATATACTGTTTAGTTTGTAAATAATTTAGTGTATATTTGCAATTTTAAACTGTTTGTAAAATATTCCAGCAGATCAGGCTAAGACTACTCATTTTATAGAAAATTATGTATTACCTGGAAGTGCTTTAAGTTAACCCATTATGTAAATGGAAACCTGGATCACATACATAGGGTCCTAGAATTTGACATAATTTCCTGGAGAAGCAAGCCTGTATTTGAAAAGCTATTCTCAAGCGCTGGTTGAAGTTTTTCCTTAAATACTGTTTTATTTGGTAAGTGAAAACTGACAACACCACCAAATCATCTAGTATTAGTGTTCTTTTCTTTTACATGTCCCTGCCGTTGGACAAAAAATAATAATGGCTTATGCTATTCCTTTGCCTGAATAAAATGTTGCAGTTCCAGAGATAAAGACGTATTGAGCTGAGCAATTAAATAGCTAAATAAATGAATCAGCAGAGCAGAAGTGACAGATTTAATTACTGCTTAGAGCTAGGAAGGGGAACTAATTATGGGGTTCATGAACCACATGCCATTCTTTTCCTTAAGCATGTGGTTCAATTCTTCTGGATCAAGCTATGCAAATACAGTAGCACCACGCACCACATTAAAAAAAAAAAAAAGACGGAGGAAAAAAAAAAATCAAAAAGTTATCCAAGATTTGGAAATAAGGTCTAATCTTTGAAGCAAGAATAGCCCATGTTCAAGTGACTCCAAATTAAGAGTTACAGGAACTAGCTTTTGAATATATAAACACTAAAAATTTAGTTCTCAAAAAAAATGTAAGCACAATGAAATTTGTTAGATAATTTGTTGAATAAACCAAAGATTGTAACAGGAAGCTGTACTAAGTGAGGCATAAAGCATAAAGCTCTATCGAGTGATTAGGAGCCCCATTCATCAGCAAGTATTTGTAGCTGGAAAGCCTGAGAAAGCTGTTGATCGTTGCTCTCTCCTTGCTTTGGTCAGTCCACCACAGCAAGCAATACATCTCAAAAAGATGCTTTTGTGGCCACCAAGTACAAAAACACTAGTGGTGGAAAAACCCTGCTCCTCTTTTTTGCTTTCTGTCCCATTTTTCTATGTTGCATTTACAATACCATCCTAATTTTATTCTTGTTTGATAAGACTGTCAGTGCCAATTATTTGAGCTTCACATAAAACTCATGAGCCTCATGGTATAATCCCATAAACATAGAATTCTTTCCCTCATTAGTGGGAGGAAGAAAAGGGATAAAACCCCACATATATGGCATTTGAATCATATAGTTCAATTAAATTCATAATTTTGGTGAGTTTACGGCTATCTTATATGGATGAAGACAAAGTATCATTTCAAGAAAAAAGAAAGAACAAAAACACCAGGCTATTTTTTAAAATGAATTAATGAAGGTAAGAGAAGTCTTTCATTCATAGCCAGTTTTTTCTAAAGTTAAAATCTCAATGTGATGTCTCTTTCAGCATAATTTAAAAAATCAACACATTTGCCTCTTTTCCTAAAAATACTGTGAAGAGATAAATATCTCTGCACAGCTGACCTCATACACCATTCTGAAAAAAAATCAGACCTTTTACTCCACTGACTTTGAAAATTTTAAAAAAGCAGAAAAAGCATAACATGATGCAAACAATAAAATATTTTATGGCTGGGAAATATCTAAATATCTAAATCCAACTATAGTCGTGTTCTCCTTCCACACCACCAGTAATTTTGTCAGAATGAAAATAATAGAGTCCAAACCCAGAGATGTAGGCTGATCCCTTGGAAGGCTCACTGGACAATCACAAATGCCATCATCATCGAAGATTACAACATCAGCTCTGCTTGACTGAAATTCTGTTCTCTGAAGGCAGCCAAAACCAAAGTCTATTGCCTCAATAAAGACCAAAATGAACTCTATCTTGAAAATCAGTGTCTGGGTTTCTGTATCAAGGGAGACTGTATCTACAAGGAACCAGGAGCACTGTACATCCAAGATAAGATAAAACCAGGATTTTTTTTTTTTAATGGAATTATGGTATAGCTCTATAAAAGTGACATCCTTTGC